TTTTTTTTTTTTTTTTGTTTTTATTGAATGAGTGATTTCTTATTTTAACAAGCAATTAAACGTTTGAATTTTAAAAAAGATTACAAAATTTTTTACAGTAAATATTTTTATTTTTTCATATCTTTATTTTTCAAATTTATGTTTATCATACAGTAACTGATAAGTATCATCAATCTTCTTCAAGAGATTCATCAATTTTCTGATATGTCCTCAAATCAGGTTCTTTTTTTTTTTTTGTGTTTTCTAATTACACAATCAGTTGGTGTCATGCATGTTCATATAATTATACTCTCTCAACCAATGCTAAATTTTGATGTTTGAGGATCGAAACACAAAATTATAAATAGTATGTTGTTGTCACTTTTCATGCACCATAACTTCTCAAAATTGTTCTCTATGATATTTTCAAAGATCAACCAAAAAAGAGTTTTTCGCAACGATATTTTGTGTTCTTCCTGCAACACAATTTTTATGTATTGCCCTTATGATTACAAGCATGTTTGATCTATATTGTAGGTCCAATGACATTTCATTTTCACTTGTTTCAACATCTTTTATTGCTTCCTTACCAGTTCTACAAGATGTTGACCCCACCACATTCCTTGCCAATATTCTCTTTTGTTTCTCCTGGGTTTTTTTCACTGTTGTAGATCGTGTTTTTGTCATATCCTATGTTCACAACAAAAAATTAGACACTTAAGAATAAATTTGAATATTAATGTATCTTGTCACTGTATGTTATGTCTGTATGTTTTTTAATCTCTATTCAATGATAATTTAATAGTCACAATATGTTGTATATTTAATTGTTATATATGAGAAATGCAATTCATTAAATTAGTCATTCGTATACATTGTACCTCTGTGGATTAAATTTCATAATCTTTTATGAATTTGTCAACAAATACAGTGATTACCCGAGCAACAAAGTTATAACTTAAAGAGTTTTAATAGAATGACATTATAACTTAAACAGTGACATTATTTTAGTTTCTAAAAGAGTTACAACAAAATGTTACATAAAATTGTAACATTATAACGTTTTTAGTGTATGTTGTCAATGTGTATAAAGTTTTCCACGCATTATTAATTGAATATAAATGTTAGTATATAATATATCAATATTGTTCTATAGTGTGTTACTAGGCTATCACCATCATAACTACTTGGCCATATTTGAAGCTCAAGGTAACAATTCAAAATATGTTGTATCACTATGAATTATCAACAATAGGTTATTAATATATAGTGTAGCTGTATGAATAATCTTCAATACCATAGCATTACATTATTCTAAATTTACAAATAATACAAGTTATTATCCATATTGAAAGATGTAATACAGTAAGTATGATTCCTAGTTGGAAAAAAACATCATTTAACAAAATATGACATCTAATTATATGATTTGGTTTACTCAAAACATAGCAATTACACAAAGCAACATTGAACATAAATTGAAATGAATTTTATGTATTAAATATCATTTAAAACACTATCTAAAATATGATGGTGGATTTTGATTTAAGGTTTGTATACTGCAACATTGAACAGAAACTCAAAATGGAATTGTTGTTGCTTATTATTTATGTAAACATAAATCTTTTTATGAATTTTTCAACAAATACAATGTTTACCCAAGCAACAAAGTTACAACTTAAAGAGTTCTAAAAGAGTGGCACTAATAAGAGTGACATTATAAATTAAACAGTGATATTATTTTTGGTTCTAAAAGAGTTACAATAAAATGTTACATAAAATTGCAGCATTATAACGTTTCCATTGTATGTTGTTAATGTGTATAAAGCTTTCTATGCATTATTAATTGAATATAAAGGTCATTATATAATAAATCAATAGTATGTTATTACCATCCTACCTACTTGGCCATATTAGAAGTTCAAGGTAAAAAGTCAATTTATGTTATATCACTATGAATTATTAACAATAGGTTATCAGTATATAGTATAGTTGTGTGGATAATCTTCAATATCATACTGTTACATCATTCTAAAATAACAAATAATATAAATTGTTATCCAGATTCAAAGATGTAACATAGTAACTATGTTTCCTAGTTGAAAAAAACATAATTTAACAAAATATGACATATAATTATATGATTTGGTTTTCTCAAAACCTAGAAATTACACAATGAACATTGCACAAAAATTTCAAATGAATTTTATGTATTATATATCATTTAAAACACTATCTAAAATATGATTGATATCATTTAAAAATTAAAAAAAATTAAAAAAAGTAAAATTGGAACATAAACTAAAATGTTGGAATTATTGTAGTTTATTATCATAATAAAAACTTTTAAGGATTTTGTTCAAAAAAAATACAAAACGAAATCACTACCCAAATTAATACTTCTAATTTGGAGTTTTTTTTTGGTTTAATTCATAAAAATAAAAAAAAAAAGAAAAAAAAAAGGAAAGTTATTGTTACAGAATCAATGAGAATGTCGGAACTCCTTATGATGACGTCAGAACCCCTCAATGATGCCAGAAGAACAATGACAACTTCAACAATTTACTTCGACGGAGTCTATTTAANAAAACCTATTTAAAATCATTCTCGAGCTTATTGAGAAATTTCATATTTAAAATAGCATAAAGTATTTTTGGGTTAAAATATGTACCTTTTTGTATCCAATCCTATTTTATCAACAACAAATTACAAATAAGCCAAAGAATAGCAACCGACAGCTATAAAATTATTTCTAAAAAATAAAAAGTATTGTATTAGATAGAAGAGAATTATTATCTTTTTTTTCAATATATATAAAAAGATCACAATATTTATATTGAATTTACTCACTCCAAAAGGAAAAAAAAAATTGTTTTAGGGAGAAAAAAGACTAGTAATTTAATAAAACTTTTCAAATGTTTAGAGGGGCAAATATAGTACACTGAATAACATCATGGGAGTCTAATCAAAGGTGATTCAAAAATGAGGGGAGGCAAGTGCCCCCAAGTCCCAAGATGGCTCCGTCACTGCTTCATATTCTCCCATTAAGCAATTGCTAAATTTTAACCTTTTGATATCTTCGTTTACACTTAATTCCGGTCTTCATTAGGCTACCCCTTGGGGTTGTGATTGAATTGCTTTCGTTATCTATTATTTTATCAAAGTACTCTGATTTTTCTAAATTTTTTAAAATTTCATCTAAAATATTCCTCTTTTTTTTTATTTATTTATTGTAAGTCTATTGTAATAACCAACATGCATAGAGATGGTGTCTCACCAAAAAAAAAAAAAAAAAGTCTGAATTAAACCACCATGACAAGTACAGTTTTGTAAGCGTAAAGAAAAGTTGTGAACTGCAGATAGAAAATGGATGCATACTTATCTTAGGTACCAAGTAATAGAAGCATCTCGAGGACAATGAGGACAAGTTTGAAAAACATGTGCAGTGAAAAACTTGTATGCAAGTAACTTTCAAAGCAAATTGGGTGAAAATGGGTGGTCTTAATTAAGCTTATATTCTCAGGATTAGGTTTACCTTCTGCAGCATTTTCTTCCGACTTAGATGCCCCACCAAAACGTAAAGAAAAAATCGACAAGATTCAAATTCACTCTAATGATAGTCTTTTTTAATACTGTTGTGTTGTTGTCCAAATCAAAAATCAATTTTTTTTTATTCCATATGTATATATACTACAAACCGAGTGAAAACGCTAATTTTTGGAGACTTATAAAATAATATGAGAAATTTGAAATTTGATTTAAAGAGCATAACAGTACTTGTTCATGTGAATTCCTTTTGTGCAATATCACTTGTGTGTGGTTGTTGTTAATGTAACCAAAAAAAAAAATTACCAATAGATATTACTTTTCATTTTTGTTTTATATTAATGAAGGCCTATTTTTAACATTTTCTTTCAATTAAATTCTAATTTTATCATTAATCTTTAGTTATCAATTGTTATTTAATTCAATTTTATGTTTTTTTGAAAGTGAATTTGTTGTCATCTATTTTTATATGAGTTAATTTACTTTTTTTTTTCTATAAATACTGTCGAGTTTTTATTGAAACTACAGTTACAGACATATAGATGCTCAATTTTTGTTTAGGTATTAGTATTTGCTTCAATCGCTATTCTAAAATTAGAAAACATTAGAGTTTTTAAATTCTTATTCATCGAGAATACATAAGGTCCAAAGCCCTCTGTTGTATCTCATAATGACAATTCTAAAAATTATTAATAATTAGATGGGGTATGTATGTATGTATAAAAGACGACTAATTTTATTATATCTCTAATACATTAAGTGTCAATATTTGTCAAAAGAATGATAGAATTGAAATAAAATATATACTTTATAGAATTTACGATTTTATTGAGATAAAATATCAAGATTAGGACTTTATTGATATAAAACAAAAATGATAAAACTTAATAGATGTTTGTAAAAATAATTAAATAACTTATTTTTTTTTGAAGATAAATCATAAAATAATGTAGTTTCAAACTAACCACCGAGTGAAGTAGTTTAGTAAAGTATCGACAAATCTTCTTACCCTAGGGTTGGAGGTTTTAATCTTGGAGTCCATATTGAGGCTCAATGGTTGACCGCTATATTAGCCTAATTAAGTTCGTTTTCGAGAAGAGTAATGGGTGCGGTCAAAAACTTTATAATCCCATCAGTGAGATTTTATCGGGATGGTTTTTGAACGCGCTCATTTGTCCATTTCCCTTCTTTTAAATAGTGAAATATAAATATAGTTTCAAACTTATTTACTAAGTTATCATTGTTTTGTACGAGTCGTGTTTATTTTAAACTAAAAGTGGTTTTTAAAAACACAAATTTGTAAGAATATATATATTATGCATCCGAGTTTGATCCTAAAATGGATAAAAATTCCATTTCCATGGGCGCTCGGATTCATCTTTCAACAATGAAGCAATCAACATTGACCATAACATAGAAAATGGTGACCCAATGAAGTAAAAAGTCACAACTTTCGTATCCAAACACGAGGAGGAAATTCAAGAGATGGGTTAGGTGATAATAGATACAAATTATAAATTTCACATGTCGTAAATTTAAATTTTAATAATTTTTTGGCGGTGAGATCATGAATCTCATGAATTTCTTAGTTTCGGTGTGAATTATTTATCTTTGACTAATTTGAGAAAGAAATTAATTGAAGTGAGCGTAATTTAATTTGGATATCTTTGACCAATAAAAAAAAAAAAAAAGAGAGAGACAAGAGGAGGGGGGAGGGGGGAAGTGAGCCATCAAAATCAACGCTGGTGGAGCACATCATGTACTCACAACCCATCTCTAACATCCGATCTCAAGCCGAGCCAAATCGTACCTTCTTTTCTGTTTGTCCCCCCTCACATGCAATTTCAAGCAACCCTCCAATCAATACTTATTTTTTCACAACAACAATGAGTAAATGGACAACCACAAATCCATTCCTGTGGGCACAAAAAAACAAAAAAGTTACAAAAAGTGATCAATAAAAGAGAAAAAGAGTACGATATCAATTTTTTTTCAATTTTTTCTTTGAAATGTACCAAAAAAAACTCTCTTTAATGATCAAGTTACACTTTACAATAAGCAAATTACAATTATCCATGAATAACTCTGAAGATATCAAGAAAAATTCATATGCTAAACAAATGTGCAACATGACCGATGGACTGATTGATTTAATCCTAATATGGTTAACTTGACCCATCATAATCTAGGTCAGTCAATGTATGAATCAATTCCACAGTTATCTAAGCAACTCTGCACTTATTGAAGCAATTCACCTTACATTAGAAATAGGACAGAAGATGAGTTATACCACCAACTTTTACATTGGACAAGAAGAAACTATCTCTAAAATGTCACATTCTAGAATGACATGCGTGATTAGGGAAGATACTCTCTAATTCAATCCGTTTTTTATATTCAAGCATGCCCCTAAAGGGAAAAATTGCAACATACATCACTATCTGATTCTTTTTTTCTATTTAATATATAAAAGAATATATATATTATGCATCCGAGTTTGATCTTAAAATGGATAAAAATTCCATTTGCATGGGCGCTCGGATTCATCTTTCAACAATGACGCAATCAGCATTGACCATAACATAGAAAATGGTGACCCAGTGAAGTAAAAAGTCACAACCTTCGTATCCAAGAGGATGAAATTCAAGAGATGGGTTATGTGATAATAGAGACGAGTTATAAATTTCAGGTGTCGTAAATTTAAATTTTAATAATTCTTTGGCGGTGAGGTCATGACCCTCATGAATTTTCTAGTTCCGGTGTGAATTGCTTATGTTTAACTAGTTTGAGAAAAAATTTAGTTAAAATACACGTAATTTAATTTAAACACCTTTGACAGATAAAAAAAAAAAAA